AGAGGAGTGGACCGATTATCTCCATTAAGATTAGTAGCGCTTGGAGTGGTGTCGTAATAAACGGATGACTGGATCTCTTGAGAGTCGATTGGCATCAATGATGAGACGTTGGATGGATATAAGTGTGAGCTCGAGGTTTGCCAGCCATCAGTAAAAGACATGTCAGAGTTTGCCTATAATTGCGTTATAATAACCAAATGCAATCGAGAAATAAGAAATGCTTTTAACTTCAAGTGAAATTATTATTCAATTCTCATTTGTGTTACGTTTCGTATAAATTACAGTTGAGTTTAGTATTCAAACTAATGAAATATGTATTGAGGGGTTCATAGAGTTTAGTTAATAGACACCAATCGGTTGTCATTATGTAAGGCAAGCGAGAGAGAGGCACAGACAGGACAGACAGCTCTCACACACGGCTACCGGACATNTGAGTTTAGTATTCAAACTAATGAAATATGTATTGAGGGGTTCATAGAGTTTAGTTAATAGACACCAATCGGTTGTCATTATGTAAGGCAAGCGAGAGAGAGGCACAGACAGGACAGACAGCTCTCACACACGGCTACCGGACATAAGATTTATGCAATTCTCGTAGTCAAGTGAATGCCGACATAAGCTTAAGCTTACGGTTCATTCAATCAATAGTTTCTATAATAAGTTCAATACATTGGCGTATTATGATTTAATAAACATGTTAAATGAACACAACTATGGGTTTATACCAGAAATATTTGATTATCAAAAAGCAATCGCCTAATGGGTGATTAAAAACTAATCTAATTGCTTTTAATTACTTAATCACATTGATTATTTTGTAAAGTATTAAAAAAGTAACTTTCAATAGAAAACAATGTATTGAACGCATCATTTATCAAAACAATAGACATCTTATTGAGTTAAAAGTGTGGAGTGAATTGAGACAATGATTTGCATTCAAAGACTTACCGCTCTTAAAGTTCGCGACAGAATCTGATTGTGATTTTGATTGTGTGGTAAAACATAGTAACTTTGCGCCGGTAGTGAACACATTATAAAAGCAATATTTTCTACCGTCAAGTGAATACGATTTCAATTGTCAACA